GAATAATAACAATAACAATTAATATAATAATAAAATAACAATAATAACAATAATAACACCATGAATAACAATAAATCAACATAATAATAACAACAAACAATAAATAACTAATAACAATAATAACATAATAATAATAATAATAATAATAAATAATAAAATAATAATAATAATAACTAATAATAATAATAATTCCTATTGAATAAGAGATGTTGCCTCATCACAATTTTAGCTTAGCCCTAACCTCATTCCTGCAGGTTGATTTTCTTTCGTCTAATCCTTCGACTGTATCCAACAAGGCTAGGCTCAAATAAATTTAAGGCAGCTTTCTCGTCTATATACTCCAAATTAATGACCTTAGTATAACGGTTGTGGCCCATTCGTTGGTGGTGCAGTGGCGTCATGGATTGGAGACTAAAGCTACCAAGCCGTGGGAAAAAGCACATGACTGTGCCTCTAGAACCGAAATCGAATGATATTTTGGATTGATGGCTGATTTATTCAGGACCATCTTTCTTTACCTTCAAATTTAATATTTCTTTTCATAATTTTGGAGTTCATTTTTTTTTATTATTGTTATAATACTTTTTTTAATTTTTTGCTGCAGAATGATACAACTTGCCATACACTACGTAGTACTATGAGATAAGGAAATAAAAATTATAAATAACGCGGAAATGGTAATAACCTTGTTTAATAAATGCCTATGATGTGAATAGATAAAACGAAAAAATGTAGCATGTTTAGCTATGGCGATAAATTTGAACACTGATTTTTTCATACCAACTAATCATATAACAGTGAGAAAACAAACATAGAAAGAGATTAACATTAATTAAAGATAATATTGTTTGTAGTGAAGTTGAATTTTTCTAAATGGATATCTAGTTTCCGGATATGTAGTTTAAAACAGCAAATTTCTTAGTATCCATGAGTAATTTCTTAGTAAAGACTGTTCCGGCGCTAGGAATGGGAACGCCGGGCGCTCGCCCAGGGCTTTGCATATCATGGGGTCCGATCATGTCACTGGTGTGAAAAATATTAAAGAATTGAAAAAGAAATTAGTTATCGTAATTATATAAGCTGCGAGTAATCTGACATTTCATAAACTTTTCACTTAATTGTTTACCTTAAATGTGTTTGTAGTCATCACTTACACTGTATAACTCAAGGAAATGTATCAAATAACGCTAATATTAAAATAGGTTTACTGTAATTCATATTTATTTTTTCATTACTTCACAAGTCATTTTATTAAACTAACTAAACCCAACAATTTTTTTAGCGTTTTACGATCATCATGGAAATTGTGTTATTTGATCACTACATACTTTTACGTAAAACTATTATTTAAAATACATTTCCCAAAACTGTTTCTAGTTTAAGTGTAATTTTTGTTATTTGTTGAAATAAAATAACTCACAATATCTTTCTCATTTTTTTTCGCGGGAGAGGGACTACGTTTTAGCACTGACTGGGACCAAAATTATCTAGCTCCGAATCTGCGTAAAGCCATTATGGTGGCCTCGGTGGCCTAGATTGCGGTGCGCTGAGAGTTAAGCAAAATGGCGCACCTTGAGCCAGCTGGAGCCCGACACCGGCCACGAGGGGTCTTGCGAGAGCACCGCGCCGCTGTCTCTGCCGAGCGAGGGGCAAGGGCCTGTTTCGTCGGCCTCCACGAGAAACGACGTGTAGTGGTTCAGGCCCAGGAAATCAGCAGATCCTGAAAGCAATCCATTAACAGTACAAACATTGAAAGTAGAAATAACTGACTGAGTAATGGATAAATGAGTAATGGTTGTCAATTACAATAATGTTAAATCTGCAATATCTGATCGTCGTTCACTTGCCCGGATGCACAACCCTGAGATAATCGTAAACTACTTCTAATTTGTTTTAAATACAGTACATCCTCGGCATACTCGGTACATCTTGGCATACCAGCCCTAAGGAAGACCACGACAGGATGGTCGAAACGTCGGCAACTCAGCCTTCGACGCGGCGTCACCCGGACAGCCCAGATCACCCACAGTACATCCTCATTTAGTATTCGAGATATTGCAGCAATGTTGATGTAAGAAATAAGTTTTAAGAGCGTCTCTGGCGTCCAGTAGCAAGCCAGGCAATGCACCTAGCTATCTAGCTAGAGTCGAAAACGCTGCCGCCGTCGGGACTCAAATCTAGGACCTCCCGGTCAAAGTCTCTGCAATGACATCTATTGGTGCCACATTTTGAACACGTAGGCTTCCGCGGGTCGAGTTTATGACTTCTAGGCTGTCCGGGTGACGCCGCGTCGTTGGCAGAGAAACCGACGTTTCGCCTGTCATTCACTACCTTGAAGAAGCCTGCGATATGACAGACGAAACGTCGGCCTCTCTGCCAACGACGCGGCGTCACCCGGACAGCCAAGAAATTATCAAACATTTTGTTTAATAAAATCATAGACACGTTAATTTTTAGTGACATTCATTTTGTACATGTCTACGGAGAGTTGTCGACCCAGCCTGGTGAGTTATTTAGAGAATATTGTTTGTTATTGCGAGCTTCTCACCTCGAAGCAATTCAATTTCCTCCCGGGAGAACTGCGGGAGGCGAGACCTCCGGAGCCCCTCTCGGGCGCTGTTGGCGGACACCCTCTGTCGCATCACGTGAGGGTAGTCGCCCTCCTGCGAGAAGATGGGGTGTGCGAACCAACCCAACTGCCAAACACGATTTACACGTTCTCATTAGAAACAAAGTGCATTAAGGGGATTTATTAAGCCCTATGCCCGCCGCAATGTTAAATTTTCAACGTTTGTGACCCATATTCTGAGAATATATTTATTGGACATAAACAAAATTTAGCATACTGATATAGAAACATATTGTACATTTACTGAGCTTTATTTCAGATTCCTATCTGTGAATTTAACGCCTTAAAATAATGTTAATTGAATGTACTTTTTTCGGTTACATTTTTTGTCAATCTATATTTTGTTGCAATGCCGTTTTTGCATGAAAAGTGTAAACACAAACTCAGTAAATATTAATATAATAGTACATCATTATGTAAAAAAATAAATGTTTTTGGACATATAGTTTCGGAGAAAATGGGTCATTTATTCCAAAAATAATCACTTTCGAGATCAAAAATGAGTTTGAAGTTTTTACAGTGCGAAGAAATGCATGGCACTGCATTCAAATTCATGGCATAGCACTCAACCACTGCGGTCGGCATTCACCAATTGTTGTTGCGTCCCTTTGCGCAGAGGCATTATTGGAACACTTAGGTAGCATATATTTGCAACTTTTAGTGCTAATCGTACGTTCGTAAGAGGAAAAAGTTGATAGTCTTTAACATAATTGGAAACCTTATCCCAATTTAAAAACAGATAACCTTTGTATAAAAGTGAAATTAATAATAATAATAATAATAATAATAATAATAATAATAATAATAACTAAATAGATTTCTACGTCAAAATTAACTTCTTTTCCCCAAACTAAAATATTCTTCAGCTGTTTTTTTCTTTTTTTGGGCCTAATCTTTTGTTAATTTGCTAATAATTTGGACTGTTCTGTGTATGGTAATGAAAATGTTATTGCCAAATAGATTTTTAACATTTGGTTTGAAATTATAAAATTAATTTAGTGTTTATAATTGTCTTTTTCTAATGGAAAGTATTATAATGTATTGTTCAAATAATCTAATAATATGATCTAATAATCAGTTTTACATTCATGTTTACTACGCACTTACGCAGTAAAGAGAAAGTATTGCAATGTAGCGGGTAGCGGAAAGTAGCGAGTTTTGAACAGACGACTCTTTTTCCTATACGTAGAAAATTACTTAATACATTGGGTGCAGAGGTTAATACCCTGAGCAACCTCGGCCAGTGACGTGGAACGCTAGTAAATTTCACACGACAATTTCAAGAATGAGGATTATGTGCTGAGAGTGCGAAAAATCGCTTGCTGATATATTTATTCATGAAATCGTTCACACGTATCCCTAAATTAGAATAATATATATTCCGAGTGAGTAAAATATAAGTATTTTTTGAAGATTACTCACATAAAACTGCATGTAGCGTTCAGCTGCAGCAATATCATCTTGAGAATCTGTTTTTGGAATGGCCCAAGAACCACCGAATACGATGCCCACTTGACCTGTCACACATGAATACATAAATGAAACATAATTCATCTGTGAAATAAATATACACATATGTGAGAACAATTCCTTGTTAAAATCTGGTAATAAATGTACACACACACATTATCAGGAAACAACCACGCATAGATATTCCTTTGTTTTTGTAGTGCAAACATAAGTGAGTAGAAATAAAACACAATTCACAGCATGAAAGAAAATAATATCGTTTGACGGAAGCTTAATTATCTACATTAAGCACAAGGGAGTGGATATAGAATGAATTCTGAGCGTTCTATTGAAACAAATTTTGAAATTTTTACTTTCTCTTACTTGGTAAGAATCGTGCGTCTGAAAGTGACAAATTTTCGACAATAACACAATAACTCTTGTTGCCGGGTCGTGGTAAAAAACGAGTGCTCCTGTACAAAGTAAATTACTGACGAACATGATCTGTAGTTAGAAACTATGTTTTGATAGAAACGAAGTCCTTGATACCGAAATATCAAGTGACAAAGAAACAAACGTTTTTCTGTCTGTCTGTCACTCTGACTTTCTGGCCGCGTCTCGAGAGGCAACGTTAGCGCTTAAACCGTTCAGACAATTTTCTCCAAAATCAATGTTCGCGATCGATTAAAAGTATCTCGAGACCCTGCGAGTGTGAAAGGGGCATTTTTAATTTTTGGGTTAACTTTATATCAATTCTCAAAAATATTTATTATCAGTTTGGCATTAGAAATAACTATTCGACATATCATTAATTATTAAGAGTAACTGAAACAATTGATACAGGTTTCGTAACAAAAAACACACAATAGCATTATTTTTAGATATCAATCAATATTTTGATAGAGTATGACAGACAGGACTTTTATTTAAATTACAGTATTTACGTAGCCTAGTATTTCTATTCCAAATAATTAAAAAAATAATTTTAATAGTCACTTTGAAGTATAAATTAATTCAACTATTTCATCTCAAAAATTAAGACTGGAATACCACAAGGTTCATCTCTTACATCTTTGCTATTTAATATTTATATGTATGAGATTCCTAGGCTACCATTTACTTCAATTACTTACTGGAATGCTTCTTCCACAAATTTAAAAAATCAAATAATACAAAACAAATTCTTAAGAAAATTTTTAAAAACCACAGAGTTATTTCAAAATTACAAATTTACAGGGAACTGCAAATGGAATCAATAAAATCTTATATCAAATTCAATCTCAAATTTGTTTCAGTAAATTATCAAATTCAACTCCTTCAAAAAATTCCAATTTATATTTAAATTGTAATAATAATAATTGAAATCCTTCGAAAATTCCCAAGCATTTTTTTCACCTTAATTAAAATGAAATTTAATTTTTAAAATTTCTATTATTATTAAATTAATTAAACATTTAATATGTACCTGATTTATATTTATCAAATTAAAAACAAAATTTAAAAAAATACTTCATGTGAACTGCGGGAATCTTGCCTCAATATTATTGTATTAAAAAATACGTTCTACACTGTACAAAAATCCGAACAAAAATTCTTGGAAGGATTGAACATGGAGAAAATTAAATTAAAAAAAGAAACTTTTTTCAGAATTTTCTCGAAAATAGCTCAGGATTTGTGGATTAAATATGTACTCTCCTAGAGTAAATGACGCTTCAAAGATTGACGTAGATCTCATTGTCTTCAATATCTCTGATTTTTTGAAAATACAAAAGGTCCTAATTTTTTTCGGCGTCATCCTAATACTGCAATACTTAAATAAAATCCTTTTCCTTATTGAAATATGTTCTTTAAAGACTAGTTTTGAAGTAATGTCGCACAATTTTTGGAAAATATGAGTAATTTTTGTTTAATTGTTTGTAAAATATAGGTAATTTTTAATATCAAAAAGTCTCCCATTTTTTCTCAAAATGTTGCCCTCGTTTGTATCATAGAACGGTAAAAATGGCACTAGTTCCACTTACAACGATGGTGCTAGTCCCAGTTTCCCACTCTGTATTTGCGAGAATTGCAGAAAGTAACCATGTCAAAACTACCAAAATGTAGATAGAGATTGTTGTCTTCAACATCTGCTATAAAAAGTCACAGCTTTAAAAATGACCAAATACATTTTTTAAGAAACGAATTGTCTTTAGGCTAATATAAATATATAACATATTCTGGGAGTAGAAAACCTTTGACAATGTTTTAATTAATGATGTTCATCTCGAACAGGTTCATTTAATTCGAGATGTTGGTGTAATTTACGACAGAAAAATGAAATTGAATAAACATATTGATATGACTATCAGTAAAGCCTTACAGGAGCTAGGTTTTGTTAAGAGAATTATTTAAGACATATTAATATAGTCTCGCATTGAAAAATCTATATTATTCCATTGATCACATTTGTTGTTTTCATCTACTGTTTGGTCACCACATTTTAATGTACACATTAATAGATTAGAAAGAGAGCAGCACAGGTTTATTGGAGTTCTTGCACCATGACTTATTCCTCATAATCCTTTCCTTAACAATAATTATGCAAACATTTCTTTAGAATCTTAAATTTCTACCCTTAATTTTTTTTATCATTTTCAATTATATTATGCTTTTACAGAAATTAATACATGGTTCAATAGTTATCCATAATATATCGATGTATCAAGTTCCACGCAGTTCTGCCACATAAATTTACTTCCTCCCTTACAAACCTTTATACTTTTGTTTCACGACACTATGCCTGTGTATGTATTGTACATTTACATTTATGCATGTACATCTAAAAATATTATCATAAGAATGAGCAGTTAAAACTTTTCATATTGATGCAGTATATCGTAGTATAAACGACATCAACAATGGTTTGAAATCATTTATCTTCAAATTTTAATGATGTTCAGTATCTACTACTTACAAATAATCGATAATCACAATTGCGATATCTGATGATAATTGATATCCTGATTGATTTGATATTTTCCGATAATATGATAATTGCGTCTTTTACATAGCGATAACATGCAATTGTGATAAATGTGGTACTTTTATAAAGTGGACATATCAACTTCCGTTAAGTTTAATAAATAAATAAGGAAAGAAGCAAGAAGGAAAGTGAAAAGAAATAAAGTAAAAGAAATAAATAAAAAGAAGAATAGAAAAACATACAGAAAAAAGAAAGAATAGAAGTGCGCTGCACATAATTAAGCCTAACTTCACTTTTCTTCTAATAAACGCCAGTGTTAAGAACCGTTTTAATGTTATTTCTAAGGAAGACAACTAGCCGTAAGCCTCGGAAAAAGTACTTACGTGACATTTCCGAATGTACCTTTCTGAGTTGCGCGGAAGTTGCTGTCATAGAGACGGAAAGCGTGGGAGTGGGCCAAGAGGACAGTGTGGCCACACAGATAGTCGCCGACCCCTGACTTCTCCACATTTGGGGCCATTTTGTCGCCAGAGTACCCGCTACTTATCACTTGCGGGTCGTTGAATGTAATCCACCATTTAACCTAAAACACACATTAATTCATACATACAGTATTTTGGGTACGAAAAACCTTTTTTCTACCAACACTCGCAATAATTTAATGATTTTTATAGAAGGCGAAATTGTTAAGCGAGTGACAGATCGGAAATGTTTCAAAATAATCAGTTTATCATTTCCGATTTCTTTTTTCGGATTTACTTTACGGAAACTCGTATTAAATTTGTAGCGTGAATGAAATATCTGTTTTTCAATCTTTCAGTAATCAGATCTTAAACATTCGCTGGAGAAATGAACGACGACAATGCACAGGAATGGCATATACCTGGATATTTGTGAACACACACAAAGATGAAGTTTCATTTGGAAACAGTTCAAAGAGAACTAAATTAAAACGAAGGCAAAAGTACAGTCGTAGGCTTCCGCAGATAGTCATGTGCATGTTCTTGGCTGTCTAGGTGACGCCGCGTCGAAGGCTGTGTTTCCGACGTTTCGACCATCTTGTCGTGGTATGCATACCAGCCCTGAGGAAGACCATGACAGGATGGTCGAATCGTCGGCAACACAGCCTTCGACGCGTCGTCCCCCGGACAGCCAAGATCATGCATAAGACAAAAGTAAGTTCGAAACATTACATGTACTTACTCGATCACCGAATGATGTGAAGAGAAGCTCGGCGTAATCACGAAAATATAGGGCAGTCTCTCTGTTAGTCCATCCACCCAACTTCTGCAATTCGTGCGGCAAATCCCAGTGGTAAATGGTGACCATCGGTTCGATGCCATTCGCTACTACTTCATCGATGAGGTTGTTGTAATAGTCTAATCCTTTCTGATTGACGACGCTCAGATCCCCTTTTGGAAGAATGCGGGACCAAGCAATGGAGAATCGGTAGAAATCTACATTAAGAGCTTTCACTAACTGCACGTCTTCTTTGTAACGATGGTAGGAATCGTTGGCAATGTCGCCATTTGCCCGGTCCTCTGTGAATTCAGGATTCTTATGCAATAGGTGGTCCCAAATATTTTCACCTTTTCCTGCAAACATAAGGGAAATTTTAAAAAAAGCATTACGAACAATATCTATAAAAATATAAAAAGAAAGATATGTAAGGGAATTACATGTGATGTGTCCAAAAATAATTAAAATAAATTTTGGTAATAGATTAATAAGGGTTTTTAACATTTTGTCATTTTTGAGTATGTTTACTTTCACAGAAGGTGTGAACCATTAGCTTCCTCTTAAAGTGAGCGTATGATTCACTGGCAATCAACTTCTACAACGTCATACTAAAAATGGATTGCCAAAAAGAGCAAATATTTTGCCCCACCGGGATCAGAGCACGAGATCTTCTGCTAACCAATAATAAGTACCATCCCATTGACCTTGGAAATCCGATATTGCATTTCTGACAATTTAACGATATTAGGGGAATCACCAATTTTACAAATGGCATGAACGATGACAAACGCTCTAACGTCGTTTCGATTGCGCAAAATTGTACGTTTGTAGAAGTACCAATATGTATGTCAAATATAGCTACTGGATTCAAGGAAATATGAAGTTGATGGGAGGGGAATCGATATGTGTTTCTATGACAGTAAATTACACAGTAACTTTACACTAAAACTATCATCCCACTGTGGTGTGTATCTGGCCCTCGGTGGCTCGTTGATGGCTCGCTTTCGACAGCGCAACCCCTGGGTTCGATTTCCAGCAGGGCCAAAGTATAACTGTGCGCTTTCCTTATAAATTTCTCTGTTAGGGCCTAACAGCTGGCTGAGGGCATCAAGTGACACTGCAGTGCCCCTGAACGAAGGTTTTCAGTTCGAGTCCCGAGGGTGGCAGGTTTTTCGATACTAGCTTGTCAGCAAGGTTGAATTCAGTCACTGTCTGGAAGAGCATTCTAGCGGCTGGCATTTAGTAGTTTTCCGCGGTTACTCGAATCCACACCAAGCGAATATGGAGCTGTACCTTAACAAATTGGCCAAGGACCGCGCGCAATCCTTCCTTCCTCTTCATTGTCCTACCCTCACCCCTCACTTACACCCACTTTCAATAACATGCACTACACTATCACATATAACGGGAGACCGGTCGGGAGCTTAGAGTTGGCGGTCTTGGCCGGGGTAGTTCCTCGATGGTGGAGATACCTGGTTGGGAAACCACCTTGCTAGACGACGGTAAATCGGCGCCAGATCTCGCCAACCAGCGAGTAAAGATCACCGCCACTCCCGTGTAAAAACATGCCTTACACTTACGGAAATAGTGTAGGGCAACCTTAGCAGTTGACTCGCCCGGAATCATAACAATCAATCAATCATATTACGAGTGAAATTTTAAAATTCAACACAGACATCGCAAGCGCCTTCCATATGCACGGCCAATTCAATAGAGCTCAAAGTGAGACATTTGCGCCGTGGAGTGGTACTCGACTCACCGTCCTCGTCCCACGCGCCTTCCACCTGGTAGGCAGCCGTGGCCACGCCGAACTTGAAGGAGGGAGGGAAGGTTAAGGTCGCGTCCGAGCCCTCCCGCGCCGTCGCGGATTTCATCGTAACAGCAGCAGCAGCAGCAGCGCGTGTGGCGGCAACAGCGCGACTGACGCGCGGCGCGACGCGGCGCAACGAGGCGGCGACGCGGCGGTTACGTAAGCTGGTGCCACCGCCGCCACCGCCGCCGCCTCAGCTACCCACTCCAGCCAGGCGTCCCCAGGCACATTAGAGATGCCCGTTATCGCAATTGGTGAGGCAAAGCTAATAATCGGGCTCGCCTTCCTCCAGGGGTATTTCACAAGAACATTTGCCCTCTTCAAGACAAGAAGTAATGTATTTAGGAAGTTTGTTTCCCATTTGATAATGCTTCGATGACTAAGCGTTTCCGCTACCAGATGCAGCATGTCTACGCCCGGGAGACTTTAAATTATGCCATTCACTGTATTAAAAATACTGAGCACTAAGTTAGAATTAACTTGTGTAAAAGTTTGGAATGCTGCGTTTACCGCTAGTATCTTCTTTGAATGGGGCATGGACAATACTATGTTTACAGTGTTCGTGTAGTGTCAAATATAAATCCAGTTTTGAACGTTAATTAGGGATTTTCCCTTCGAAGATATCAAAATGCGATATGCTTACAATTATTAGTAAATCAACAGCAATCAAAACTACTTAGTACGTTTCAATGTTATAGTGGCACACAATGACAGAATTGTGACGTACAAAATAAATATAGGTATTTGCAAACCTTTTCACTCATACATTACAAAACTATCTTTAAATAACTGAATAAATAATAAATAAAAAAATAAAACTCTTCCAAATGCATATACCACAAAATATGAACGTACACTGGCTATTTGTCTTCGAGAAAAACAAAAAATAATCAGTCAAAATTTTGTGGAATTATCTTTTGCACCAATAACAACTTTCCGTCTTGCTGGCTTTGATCTTACAAGCTTCCTCGTAAATTCAGGATCGATTTTTTTGCATTCTTCAGAGAACACCCTCTTGGCTCTTTTATATTCAAAACATTCTTTCTGCATCTGTTTTTCCAATTCCCACCAAAAGGTTTCAATGGATTGAAATCGCGAGATTGTGGTAGCGTTTTGGTGTACCGTAACTTCACAAAATGCGATGTAAGGATAAACGCGTTCTTCTGTTGACAGTAATATATCAGTCCCATTGCAAGACTAGCTTCACTTTGTTTGAAATTACTTTATAATATTAATAAATATCCATTTTTGTTAACTGTGTAATCAATAAAATGGAGTTTCCCGACACCTGACGCACACATACAGCCCCATACCATTACGGAACCCCAGTCGTGCTTTACAGTTGCAAGCAAATTGTTATCTTCTAATGCTGCGTTTACCTTCCTCCACATGTACTGTTGAACATCCTCATATCTTGAATTTATTTTCATTGCTGAACATCACTGTTTGCCAGTGCTCCGAAGGATGTTTTCTGTACTATTTCGCGAACTGCAATTTGCCTTAAAAATGCAAGGCTTCTTCTTCGCTACTCTCCCGTTGTAACCTGTGTCCCGAAACAGTTTTCGATGACATAGTTCTCCCAGTTGTTGAAACCACCAACGGAAGAATTTTAACGACACTTTAGCGAGGATTCCTGCTGATGTTATTGACAATGTTTCTTTTATCTCGTTCGTTGAGTATAGGATTTCGGCCTCAGCTTATTTTATTAATTAGTCTGCCATCGTACTTGACTTGGTCTACCATACCTTGAATAGTTGAATGAGGTCTCCCATTGTCATCGCAATATCTTTTAATGATCTTCTCCGCATGACTATATTCACATTCTTGGGACCATTTTCAATTCGATGATGTTCTCCGCAAATCTGACCATCAGCTAATCAACTTCAGTCACATCAGTGATCAGTCATATCAACATCAGTCACTTCAGTCACATCAACATCAGTCACAACTTTGTACCCAAGAAAATATTTCAACGGGTACATTTCAAAACGCGCTTGTGATGGAGTACGTTAATTTCTGTGCAACGCTTATTTGTAGGTGTCACACAAAATATTTAATTTTACACCTACTAAAGAATATGTCGAGCCGGTCAGATCGCCGAGATCGTTAGGGCAGTAGTGTCGTAGCGGGCTTGGACCTGAAAACCGCGGGTTCGAATCCCGTCTGCGACATGGGTGTATTTCTACGTCTATATATGTGTGCGTCCTTTCATCCCTCAGCATCATCATCTCAACGTCCATACCCCCAGGGCTAACAACCTTGAGGGATAAAAATCGGGGATTCAGCTAAAAGGCTGATTACCCCCCCCCCCACCAGAAAGGTACTTACACCTGCTGAAGCAGGATGCACGAGTGGTCTGCATTGGCCTGTACGCGAAAAAAGAGGAATTTTCTGCTTTCAAATTGCATTAGTCCTTTCAAGAAACCTCAAATATCAAAATTACATACTTTATTTTCAGAAATATTTTTATGACAAGAATTATGGTATCATTAATTTGTACAGTAAAGATTTACCTTCAAGTTCGAGAGCAACTGTATATACACAATTTTTAGTTTCGAATACGCAGTTTTCTTCATTTCCCTTGTAGTGCTTTGGGCTGGCTGCCTGACTGCCGTGGTGCTACTCTCCCCATCTGCACCCTGTGCGCCGCACACAAAAGGACCGCGTGGTCTCGAAATTTCGGTAAACAGCAATTACGGCACCGCTATCTGGCCACCCGTTTACGTCTCCGTAAAACATCTATAAAGATCGGTGTTGCCCTTGCTACCTCGCAGACGCCTTTTTCATCGCGTTTTCTTATTTTGGCGACATTCTCTGATTTGATGACACAACATAAAACCCTAAACACCTATCACCATTACTTCGGTTTTGATGGCCTTGAACCTTTCGAAGGCGATGAAAGCAGCTGTGGAAGCAACAAACCACAATGGGCCAATGAACTCCCTGGAGTGTAATAACTTGAAGCAATAGTACCAGAAGGATGATGTTCTCTACAAGAACAAATACACAATTTCAAATTTGTTGGATTTATATAACAGTAACGTAACGGCAAAAAAGTAGAATGTGAAAGTAAGTAAATACATTGGGGTGTTACATTTCATTAAGAATAACACTACTTCAGTCTGTCTAAACCTGAAATTTCTTTTGACGTAATGTGGATATTTAAAAACAATTGTGAACGCAATACGGAATTGCAAAGTACTTGTAAACTCAAGAAAATGTGCATACGTACATCTACCAATTCACACAAAAAAGTAAATAGAATATCTTGCAAAGGAATGCGTTCTCGCGCAAATGGATGAGAGAAGTAAACTGATCCCACACTCTCTTTATCGAATGGTTCCATTTCCTAGTAAACTTGTGCCAGCAGAATGGTGTATCATCGAGATATGGCAAGACACTCAGAGAGACACCCATTGTACCTACGCAGTGCTATCGACTTCGTCAGTAAATACTTCATCCGTTCATAACCCGCCAATATTTGCCTCCTCAGTCTTTTGCCCGTTCGTGTGCCCTGAGGGTGCTAGAACACCAGTTTCCGCGCAGGACTGACGGCTACATCTTCCGAAACATATTTGACTTATTTGCATCTTGATAAGGGAAATAGTATCGAAATTATTTGTGTGCGCAAGCGAACGTGCGAATATTCATGAGCTGCCACTGATTCCGTCAGAAATCACTCTAGAAGTAGATAGGATCACAAACTCGCCGGATGCTGAGAAAGTCAAAAACAGCACGCTGCAATCACTAGAGTCGAAATCCTAGAGCAAGATTGCACAATGCCATCTCTCGGGGCATTATCGTTATTTGCTGTACACAATGAAACTAATGTAAAGATAAAATTTAGCGACATTTTCCAGGAAATTATTGTTAAAAATGGTCTATTTTTCAAGCGAAAACTACTAATGTTTTCCAAAAGTTGAACACAACCTTTCTTGAAGGTCTTGAAGTTTTTGATAGAGTTAATTAAAGAAAAAATCTATCTTCAATATTGCAGTTTTATGAAAAGGTCAAAAAAGTTTTAACTTTTGAAATTTTCGAAAATTGAGAGAGTACAAAGTAACGATAGAGTAAAATCCTTCCAAAAATCAAAACAATAGTTTCAATTTCCAGTGTTCGCGACATCAGACAAATCGTTCGGGAAATATCAGTTTTGTTGATAATCCTCCTTCGGTTTAGACCGTTATTCACATAGACGAGCAGTTCCTAATACGTTTTTCGGTACAAATGACTCACAATATGTGGATTTTTGACTACTCAACGTGTTAAAAGCAGTAATTTATTACATGGAGGAACAAGATGTATCCATATTTTTGTTTGGAGGTCCAGCGATAAAAGTTTTTTCATCGATAAATCGGTTTTTTAAAATTTAATATTACAATTCTTAATATTCCGTAAAAAGAATGGAAAAAAGAAATAATTGTAATAAAATATTTTTTTCAGTTCTGTTTCCAACAATATCAAGAAAATTCTGTTCAATAAAATTCAAACTCGTTTCACTTTTGTACCCTACAAAATAATTACAAATGCAACTTTATTCAATATTTTTTAACTTACACTTACATATATATAACAGTGCTTTTCATTTTGATTGCTACCACTTTTAGAATACAAAACGTAAATTTAAATTTTATTCATGAATTGCATAACTGTACATAAGTAGTACGTAAATTACACACAAGTAAAATTACATAATATAAATTACATTAGAAGATTTGAAAAAGCTAGGGGAATAAAATAGAAAAAATTATAAAGGTTAACTAAAGAAGTAGGCCAATTGTCAAGTAAATCTTTTAATGGGAGAATTAGGAATTAGTTTACTACTTGATGTTTTTTCTTGATAGAATAGTATTTTGGTTCAGCGGTGAATTGTCGTAGAAACATTCCCAAATAAAAAATTAGCAGGAGTTGTTTAGCCAAACATATTGTTTACAGAAATAAGCCCCACATTCGAGCCTGTTAGCCCGCCATCCATCAGTGTCGCTGCTCTTTCGAAAAGCCTATATCTTTTTTCTTGCCCAACACGCAGGCAAACTTGATTGACGATCGCTAAGCCTCAAAAGCTGCTATTTCTGTAAACAATATTGTTGGTAAAAACGCCTCTAATGAACAAAAAAACTGTACTTTTACATACTTTTGCACTTTTCAAAGACAGATAATAAACAAAACAATATTTCATCACCTAATAGAACTTAAAATTCCTTCAAAAATCCAACGTGTCAAACATAATTGCTGACATTTATAATCCCAACATATTGTCAGGTACAAATCACTCACATCTGTACTTGTATTCATGAATATGCAAGGACATGATCTAATTATATGATAAACTTAGGTTCCTTTCAACATTAACGCTAAATTAAGTAACTAATGTCCCAAAAGATTTTTCTAAAACGAACATGTAGCTCAATAAATGCAGTTCATCAGAAATCAGCCATTTTCAAGAAAATGTGTGTAAAGAGTACGCTGTGTCTTTTCTTCAATTAAAAATAGAGGTTTTTGCGTTCACGTATATTGTTTCTGTAATCTAAGATTTGACACTTGTTTGACACGCAGTTGAAAAAATAAAGGCGCACAGAACATTGAACATCCCAAAATGCAAAACATATATAGTAGTTGTCACTAAATGGCTGCTTTCAGAGTTGCATTGAATGAGCGATGTGACTAGCTTAATATATTGTAATGAACCACGAACACAATCACAAAAGCTTAAGTTTATATCCATATTCACGAAGTCCATTGAGCGTTTTGTTAGTTTCAATATTAAAAAATGTTTTGATAGATCGCTCTCCCACTGTATCACAACCAACACATTTGACTTTTAATAGCGACAAAAGCAGCTTATCATTATCAAACACATTTAAGCTGTTGATAGAAGGTACATAATTTTAATAAACTGTGTAATATTTCAAACCAAGGTCGCATCTCCGCCTAGGCAAACAAGGCACACCCCCAGATGATATAACTAAAATAACATTTAGGGCCCTAATATATTTTAAAAAATATATAAATAAGAAGCTATGTTTAACTCTTTTATTAGATACAGACCTTTCCGTACTTGCCAATTATTAAATTCAAGGTTCAAAATATTTTAATTCCTGAAATAATAGTTTTATCTAGGCGAAAAATAGAAACACAATTTTATAACAATTATTAATTCGTAGTTACTGTATCTGATGATTGTTTTTGATAAATCAACATTTTGTTTTCAACATATTTGGCAACATCGATAGTAGCCACTCGTTTTCTGTAAAAAATGCTCTGACATTTCCTGGTTTTCGAAGTATTTTTTAAAAATTATTCTCTAATAAGGTTTGCAGAATATTTCAGAATATTTAAATGTAACCCCAAACTAATTAGTCAGTTCTCTCATTTAGTCATGATAAAGTACAAACTTAAAATATCTCAACAAATAGAAATTGAGCAAAAAATGATGTACTTTTATTCTTTAGGAATAATATCTAATTTTATAACCACCTCAGAACGTTCTCTGACTTATAACAATTCTTCCACAACTTCTTTGATTTTTCCCTGACTTTTTCAGAGCAATCAAATTCCCTGATATTTCCCGGTTTTCCATGTTTTTCAGAAAGTGGCTATAAAGTAGTTACTCTAAGAAGGGATCACTTTGACAGGTCTGGAAACACAAAACGTCTTGGAGGGCGATGCATTGCAAGTAATAGTGATGAAGCTTTTTACAAATCTGCTACCTGTAAACGAACGCACTGACCAACTGAGTGCTTGAACGTAACTTGTAGTTCTATTGCTAGCAGTGGCCAAGCAGTAGCTGTCAAAGCGGTCCCTTCTTACAGCAATCTCTCTGCAGAGAGGAATTACTCTAAGAATGGACTAGTTTGACAGGTCGGGAAACAAATGAACGTCATGCAGGGCGATGACATTGCAAGAGATAACGATGAAGCCATTTACAAATGAGCTAATGGTGACCAAGCACACTAACAAAATGAGTGCATGGATATCATCTGCAGTTGTATTTCCAAGCAGAAGATGCCAAAGAGGTCCCTTCTTATAATAATATGTCTACACCCTGAACGTGGTTGATTGGTCGTCGGCGCCGCGCAGTCTACCAGGCGCGCCAGGGGCCGGGCTTGGCGTGGGAGTACGGGCGGTTGTAGCCCGTGGAGTGCTGGGAGGCGCGCGCGTCCACGCCCATGGCCTCGTCGTACACCGGGGAGCCGGGTTCGATGTAGAGGTTGGAGTCGCGCGGCACGGCCGCCGGG